ACCCTGGAATTAATTGCCATACTGCATGTTTTATTCTGGATACTTTTGGATCATTACTACTCTCACGAATGGCGTTATATATGTCGTCCACTGAATAATCTAATTTTCAAAAATAATCCAGGCGAGTTCAACTATTTTACTTAATGATTTTTTTGTACTTAACATGTATATGTTTTCTAGTTGCTTTTGCCATATATTTGTAAGTGTCCCTAGGCTAAATGCAGTAACTTCTTATGGAATGTTTATAACGCGTCATATTCCTGCCTGAAGTTTCATAAGCAGTCTTAACTTTAAAATTATTTTTCTGGTCATGTTCATTATTTTCAAATTGTCATATACGTCAACAACCTGCATGTTAACCTGGCCCATACATGCGTTGCACTATATCTTCATGTCTTCTAAATTTAGAAATCATTTGAATCACCTTTAACATTTATCGATAAACCCATAGTTGTTGTTGCTAATCGTATTTGGGTTTATAGATTGGTTTATCATATTAGCAGCCTAAAATGCGAACATAGTTTAGATAATAAGATTAAAAATTTAGGTACTATCAACTACACTAGTAAAGTAACTAAATCCTCAGGTAGCTGTTTGCTAAACAAACGTTTAAAGTCAAAACTCAGCCTACTAAAATTAACACTAAACGAATATTTCTGAATTGAAATTTATAATATAATTAGGCGTCTCAGATTATGTAATGTTACAAATTTCTGATAATTTTGAATCATCTAAAGCAACAATACCTATTTTTCTACTGGCTAATCCTCAATCAACACTATAACTAGTTAAACATAGTAGCTTCAGGATATCATCATAAAGCATTGTCATGACTTGACAATCACGTAATATGATTGATAAAATTAATGAAACTATTAACATAACCGGTCAGCAAATCGACTTAAAATTATCACTAGTGTTGTTTTTCTTTTATCTTCATTCACTACAGATGATTACAGTATGTTTCTCTATCAGTTGCTCATTCAGTAAATATCTCAAAACCTTGTCAGTCTAGTTGATGGTTTAGCGACACAATCATGCATGCAAATAATCAGTATAAGCAGTCGAGCAAATCTCCTGCAAACTGAAAACATCAATGTCGAATTTACCCCAACACTGACTAAGGTTCAAGCCATTATCATAGACATGAGTTGGGAGTGTACTCCCCTTGGTTACAACTTATGTTCTCCCTGATAATCACATGAGCATCACTCACTATTAATCATCTTGTAAAAACTTATTTAGCCAAATACATCTTGCAGCACCTAGTAATGTGACACATAAGCTGATTTCAATAACTTATAACCACTATATCTCAATTAAATCGTATTCCGCCTTATGATAAACTGCATACTTGCAACTAACTTGTATGCGTCATCAGCCGTCAGGTATAAATATGTATAAATAGACTATGGCAACTCAGAACATTGAGTCTAGAGCATGTCTCTTACGAATACACTCATGTTTAACGATTTGTTCTTAGCTATCTGTCCTAAACTCATATAATTATCACTTACGTATTTAAATTTTGTTTTGATAACCATTCATGTGTATTAGTAGTATTACTAAATTCTATCACGGTCAAGTAAAAATGAGGTTGAGAAAATCTCCCCGTAACTAAATAAACCGTATCAAACTAACTGGAACACTAGTTGGAATTCTCCACGGTAATACTTTTGTTCTTTCAGTTAGCCTACTAATACAAATGCAATTGAAAATCAACTCATGGACAACTTACTAGCATGAACGTTATTTGATTTTATAATTTAAACCAAAACTAATACCAATATCAACATTTCTACAATATTAATTGCTTTTAATATTTCTAAACACAAAATAATTACTACCTATACGTCAAGTTACTAACCAACGGCTATTAACACGCATCACTTATTATTATTATTATTGTAGTCCCATTTTTTATAGCTCAAATAATCTTCACCCACATTTTCATTTTAAGCGTGTTAAGCATGAAGGCAGATTTTTAAAAATTATTACAGGTATTTCCCGACCAGATGCTGCCGCTTCTTTTTGATTTATCTTTCAGCTTACCAATACCCGGAGGATTCTTATTATCCTTGGTAACCTCCGGCGCGCGACGATCCCATCCAATTTGGTATCGAACCAACATCACGTTGATTCTGGTGGGAGAGTAGTGTAGTGGCATTGGACAATAGCCACACAGTCCACAAAGCTGTGAACACGAGACTACTCAGAAAATAGATATTCAATATTTAACGCGGAGAAATACCTAACAATAAAGAAGGCGCGAACAATGAATTGAATGGACTGGGTTTAATCGGATGGCATGGCTCGGCCATGCAGGCGTGGTCCATCTGAATGTTATCTTATATCTTCTATTCGTATTAAATATATTGTTCCTTCTCTAGCCTAACGTTGTTCTACATCATGTATTGGTAATTGATACGATACAGTGAGTTGGCGTAGTCGATGGTGTGACTTCCACGTAAGATCTTATAGATTAGGCAGTTATATCATGACAAATCTACAAATTTAGGATTAGGTCTATTATTAGAGCAGTACTAATATCATAGTAGACCATAGTTCCACAAACCCACGTTAAGGTAAACATACCTTTTACCATATGTGGCGATTGACCTTCCGTTTATCGCCTGTAAGTTTAAGATCGGTTCGTGAAGCCGATCGTTAGAATTTGTTGGAAGAACGCTGTCATCTGAGTCAGTTTTGACGAGGTAGCAAACTCTCGTTGTCACATCTGTGACGTATAACAGACAGCTATGTTCGCCGGCCACGGTTGCCGTTAACGCGTGCCGGCTTGAAAGTTCCCCGAGTCGGTCGGTTTTGAGCTGAGAAAATTGCAGGGTTTTCTGCAATTTCTGGAAGATTTTCCATACTGGTTATGATACCAGCAGCAGTCGGGATTATTCGTCTCTCATGGTCTAGAGACAGATCGCTTACGTGTAGTGCTTCTACGTGGGGTGTGTAATCACGTACGGTCGTTACGAAAATTAAGATAACGCGTAAGTATATGACATAACTCGGTTATGTCCTTCTGAGTCGTTTGAGGCTTTTCTTTGACTGAAAAATCCTCGGCAGCAGATTTCGAAATTTCCAAGGTACGATCGGCAGATGCAGTCATCTCGCCTAAGGCGTTGTTCTGGAACGAGACCAGAACCGCTTGCACCTTTTGGGGAAGTTTGGACAAGAAAAGTTGTTTGAATAGGCCTTCGTCGAAAGTTCTTAGTCCTATAACCTCTCTCATCCTTTGCAACATGTCCGTCGCAGAACCGTGTTGCGGGTCAATGTTATTAAAGAGTTGATCTAACCTTTGTCGATCGGTTAGGTCTTCTCGGTTAAGGACAGAACGCTTTAACGTTTCGTAAGGTTCAGAAACATCACTAGTAATCATACCAGGTGTTACGTACTTGTTGAATTCCCGCGGTAGTGCCTTGAATACTGCGAGGAACTGTGCACGTGTGTCGTTCACGTCGTGCTCGTGGAAGTCGGCTTCTGCGCAGCAGAACCAGGCTTCGATATTGTCTGGTCAGAGGGGCATGAGTTGGAACGAGGGTGGGGACAAAGTTTTAAGCTCAAATACTTTAGGTGTCTGTTCAGTCATGATGAAGCGTGAAGTACGATAATGAACGAGGAAAAAAATACATTTATATATCCCAAAACCACGAAAAAATATCACAATTAAAAAATTAAGATAAAGCAATAATATATAGAATGGAACAGACTAACAATTTACCATTTGGTGTATCAGATCACGTCGGGCTCACCAGTGAATATGGCACAGGTATTCAGTGTTTGACAACGCTTTTACCAGTAAAACCTTCTAACATAACTCGTACCCACCAAGAGAAATCAAAAGACAGAATCGAGGAGATCAGAAGTTATATTTGACGATTGCCAATATATCGGAATTATCTGATCTAATCTGGCTAGCGATCGTAGTAGCAGTTGAGCACGGCGTTCCCATACGTGATCTGGTAGGATGCACGACCGGGAGCCTTCAGCTAGGTGAGTCCCACTAAACTAATCTGGTCAGCATCCAATGTGGAAACT